TAGTACAAAGAATAGGCCTAAAAGTAGTATAAAATAAAAAAAACCCTGCTGATTTCCAGCAAATACATTCTTGAACAAGACAGAACTGAAGACACTTACAAAGAGGAATCTGTAACAATTTAAGAAAGTGTCAGAATTTATGTGGAGGATTCAGCCAAGCTTCAGAATAACCCTGTTGTCATCCTAATAAGAACTGAAATTTCAAGAGGACTGAAGATCCCCAAGGGTGAAACTGTACATATGTCTAAATACAAATAATTTGAACACGTGCCTTTTCTTCTGATGTTGTTGAATGCATGCCATTTTGACATCCAGAACAATTCACAACGTATCACAGAAAAAGAAAGCTTTTGCCCTCCATTATTAGAAGTATCCTTATGATTTATTTCAGGTTATAAATATATTTGAAACCTTTAGGTTTTAAGTAGCTACCCTCACTAAAATGGGAGTTCCACTATGAACAAGAGGAAGCAATTAACCCTCCCTTCCATTTAAGTCCTTATCCTAAGCAAGAGCTTAGTGTATGATTGTAGAAAGCCACAGATAAACTGACATGAAATCTATCACCAGTCAGAAAATAAACTACCAATAATACAGTAATTCAATAACCAAATAAATTTAAGCTCATGACAGAAAGGTTTTTGAACACTAAGCCAGAAGGTGTATCAAGTTACCTTAGCATCCTAAAGTACCTTCCTGGATGTGAATAGTAATCTAGCTACTGGCAAAGAAGATAATGACACAAGCCGCTTAATGCTCCGACACAGCAGCACACAGTCTGTGCACTGGTGATCCACCTAGTTTCAGGAACCAAAACAGATCCTCCACAAGTTCTTGTGTTGTTTCACTGCAGTAAAACAGAGGGCCATGAGCACTGAGTCATCAGAACTTGAGCTGTAAGATGTAGCTGCATTCTTGCAGGTACGATGGTTAAAGAGTCAAATTAATAAAACTACAGTAGAATTCACCAGCTGCCCATGAATATAAAAAATATGCTCTGACTACCAAAGCAAGGAGAAAATATCACAAAGTAGACAATTAATAAAGAAGTATTGGGGGTGAGTGCTACATCCTAGCAATTGACAATATCACTAAGATGACATGAGTATTCATTTAATGAATTAAAGGAGCTTTATTTGGTTCTACTAGATCCAAAATATTTGCAAATACATGAAAAATAATTGCATTTCCAAGAAGGATTAGTATATTCTGAACATCTGAAAGCAGAAGGATAAGTCACACTGTAGTTTTAGGGAGACATGCCTTCAACTATTATGACTTCTATCTTGCATGAACACACTTTTTGTGCAAGCTCTCAACTACTAGAAGACACTGTCAATTTAATTAGAAAGCTCACTTCTATGGAAAGCAAGAAATTACTTAAAATTAGCTTATAAAAAAGAAAAGATAAGTCCAGATATTTAGCCTTAGTCTAGGCAAGACTACAGTGTTAAAGAAACACAATAATGAATAAAAATAAACATTTTAAAATCACATTTCCATGAAGTGAAGCAGAAATAGATATTAAAAATTATTGTATTTAAATACACAGGAAAAACTGTCCTTCATAATCAGTGTAATTTAGAGAACATACTTAGTATCATCACTGATCTCTCCCCCCTGCAGTGTCCGAAAGAACTTAAATTCCCTCTTTCAACTACTGTTATTTTTGCTTGTCGACTATGACTTGGTAGTAAGTCAATGCAATACAAAACATCCCCCTCAGCATGGAAATGAAGGCTACTGACTCAGCCTGGTAACAAGCCCAGCATCTCTCTACAACAATGAAGTTTTTCTGATGAGAAGCAATTTTAGTATTTCTCAGTGTTACGCTGCCACACGACAACCAATCTCATCTACACAGCTTGTTTAAACTCTCAAAGCATAATAGCTCCCAGAGTGGTCTTTTTGATCCTTACCAGCTTCTGCAGACCACTTCTAGTTCCCCGTAAGTTATTTCTGCAACTCAATGGCACACTTCCACAAAAGACTAGCTTAACTTCACAGAGTAGGCAATTACCAACTAACCAGTTTTGACAAAAATATTTCTCAGTCTATCCAACTATTGAAAGTCATTACTCAGATTAAAGACAGAGGAAAGGAAATAGTCTCCAGTCTGAAGATAGAGCAAAGACAAATGAACTATTTGGTCCAATACCTGCACAACAGGACACGCTATTTGCTTGTATAGACCTACGAACAGCAACGGAGCCAAGACTGCAGCACCTAACACTAAGTCTCTTTCTGGATATGTGAGGCTCATATTTCACAAAATGTGGGGTTTGGGTTTTTGTTGTTGTTGGTTTGGGTTTTGGGTTTTTTTTGGGGGGGATTGAGGGTGTATTTTTGCATCAGTCTAGTTTTACCAGCTCACAAGACCAAATACTAGACTACAATTTCTAATGCACACATGCATTCCTTGAGCGTATCTTCCAGTTTGGCCTCATCTGAAAGGAATTCAGTTTCTGTACTCCCACATGAAAGTCAGACTGCAGTAAGCAGAGCTATCTCCTTTAATACATTCCTGATCCAAACTAAGATGCTAATGAAAAAGTCAAATATTCTTGAGTTACGATACATGAAGAGGACATAAATGGATCTCACAGACATGCAACAGTGGTAGCTTTAACTTCCTCTCTAAGTTATGACAAACTCCTGCAGTAAGGCATGCTGCAGGTTGCACACCTTTCCTTGGAGCTGCAGTGACCTGCTGAAGACAACACAAACTGAGCACCGTTGCATAGAAATATCTGGCCAGCAAAAACTGAATCACAGTGTTTGATTCTCTTACAAAAGCAAGTCCTTATTAATTGTTAAGTAGGCAAACAAAATTTTATCCAGTTCTTCACTTCTTATGTCTATGCTCAAGATGCTTCCTTTCAGTGATGGATTAGAAGTAGGTATGCAAGGCTAGCACTAAATCAGGAAGTGCTGGTGCTGTGAGTCAGTAAGCACCAGCTGAAAACAAATACTTCATGAGTTCTCTTAGACATAGGTGTAAAACGAACTCTTATCAAACAGCAATTGTTATAGCTTAATAAACATAGAGATAGCACTGGTAACAGCTAGCAGTTTTGCTAACAGAAAAAGAAATTCAGAAAATGCTCAATGCAGATACACAACAGACACGGTAACCTTGGTCATTACGGACATCTCTGTGTACCTTAACACTCATAAGTAAAATATCTCTGAGAATTACCTCCTCATAGTTATTTTCTCTTCTGTCAACACCTTTGTACCCAAGATTAGAACTGAGACAGTGGAACTTAGATATGCTTATAAGCCAAGACTGGATTAGAATAGAAATATCCTGTGTTTTAAAAACCAGATTGCATGCAGTTAAAATTTCAACTATGGCCAATATACTAAGTCATTAATTGCTTATAACTTATAGATAATATTTTAACTATAACACAAGTGTACAATCTACTCAGTGTATGGAAGCTTTTAATGAATAGTTTTAATTTACATATTATATACTTAAGAAGCTAGCAAGACAGAATCGTTGCTCAAAAAGAGTTTACAACTTATAATCAAAACAAATTCAGTTGAAATCTTGGCTATCAGACACTTTACATGCATTCAGGAAGCCAGACTGTGAAAAGCCACTGAGTAAGAGGCACCAAGAAAAACAATCTACTCAAAAATAATTGAAGTTCACTTGTATCCAAGAAGCAGATAAAAACACATTAACATAATCAGTTTGAAAGCCAATGAAAGACAGTGGCTGCACTGGTGGTAAAATCAGTAATTCTGTCTACAGAGAATCTGTTCCAATTATAGGGAGCAAGGACCAATGTAGATATGTTCTCATGTAGTCACACTACAGACTAAATGTTTGCTTCTCAAGCTACTGTTTATGCAGAGATTTGCTTGCCTACTGAACTTAAAAATAATCAGCTACCAATCCACAGTTATAACAGTAAAAACGCCCAGGGTAGAAAAAAGCCTAAAGTAAGCACAATGTGACCATATTCTTCTACTCCTTAAGAACTTCCAAGGAGGAGCAGGTGTTAGATGCCATTTCAAGTGATGAACTTGAAATAAGTAAGGTACTTCAGATCTTACCTAAAAGTTAGCTGAAGTACTGCATTTGTTTACATTTTTACGTATGTAGGCATGCAGATATGAATGTACCTATTAATTGATGGGCTATACCAAAAAGAGCACATACATTAGGCTATGGCTCACACATCTGTCAGTTTCTAAAGGTATCCTAAAATGCCTTCAGAAAAGGAAGCACACAACCCTGTCTTAGGGAACAGTTAAGCACATGTGAAAGACAGAGCTATCAGCCTGAGCATTTTAAAGTCACTGTATCACAAGTGTAGACATTGAGGCTGACTGCTCTATGGTCAAGTGAGTGACAAGAAGAAAACAGTTGCCTTCATTCACCTATGTTCTTAATCTGAATCCCTCTAAAATCAAAGTCTGTTTTTAGAAAAAAAGTAGGTTTTTCAAAACTTTAAGCTTTTACCAGTCCCTTCTTGGTTGCCTGACGTATTTACCACCTTCATGATTAGGGTGAATTTGAGTTCTTAAGCCTTCTTGTACGAAAACAGCAAACCATATCTTTTCTTCTAAATGCAAACATTTCCTCTAGTGAATTCTTGATTAAAGCTAGTAGACACATCACAATTTCCCAACAGTTTATTAACCAAACCTTGCATGAATGCATAAAGACTATTTATAGAAATATAAGATATTAATACAGAAAACTTTCAAAAGAAGTGAGACAGCACAGAATTCCAGTCTTATAAATCTGACAAAGCGTCACTTGAGGAAATAAAGTTACAGTGCAAACAGCAGAATTTCGCTATGTTTTAAGAATATGATGTAAAAAAAAAAAAAGCACATTTTTAATCTCTGTACAAACCAAAGAAAGCTGCAAGACTAAGTACATAGGTTCACACAGGTGCTGATAGCAGAAAGCTTAACCAGAACAAAGGGAAAGCTAGTGGAGCCATATGCTTAAGTAATTTCTATGATTTATTACTTACCGTATCCCATATCTGAAGCTTTATCTGTTTTCCATCAATAGTGATCATTCGAGCCCCAAATTCTACACCTGAATAGATTTTACAGAAGATTATGTTATTAGCATATATCAGAAAGAAGAATGCCAAGTGCTATGAAAGCAAAAACATAAGTCAACATTGTATTTGTAGGAAAATGATCTCCTTCACAATATGCTTTTATTTAATTTTCCAGCTGCTTGAAAAAGCTGGAAAGTTTTCCAGAAGGAAGAAAACTTACTTTTCAAGTGCTTTAAAAATGCACTGATTAGAGCAAGTGTCACGGAGGTTTTTCCCGCTACATTTTTTCAAACTATTTAGAAAATAGTTCAGTTCATCTGATCAAACTAGATCAGATGGAGAAGAACATGTCCGTTTGAATGCAAACAGGAAACTGAAGAGTCACAGTTATTTTGAAACTTTACCACAACGAGAGATCGCTGAAGCCAGTTTAGAAGAAATTAAATCTACAATTCCATCAATAAAGTATTCTATTAAGTGAGCATACAAACACAGCCTTCAACAAGATAAATTTTGTTACTGTATTAAAACTCATCTGCCTTTATGAAAAAAGTGCTCCCAAAATTCTAGCTAGTTAATGATCAAATTTAATAATAGAGGAAAAAAATAATGTGTTTCAAATAAGCAAAAGGAATTTCTTCAGTGGAAATATTCAGCCTTTTGTGCTGTCCTTTAAAGCAATTTTTAGATCACTAACAGTAAATGAAGCATAAATTGAGACTATTTCTACACTGGTACGCTTAAAGGCTATCAAGTTTCTATTGATCTATGCTTCATATATCGATTATTTCAGAAAAAAATAAAGATCTGGTAGCTTAAGTTTTGTCTAACACTGGTCACAGTCTAGATTTGGACTGAAGTCTTCCAACTAAGCAGCCCTGATTTGAAGTACTTCAAACACCTCTTCAAAATGGAAATGGGGCAGAGAGGAACCACTCCCTCCCCCAGGAGCCAAACAAAAGCTGTGGGCCAAAGAACACTGTGCTCTTTTTAGCATCCAAATAATTTGTGGTATGCAAACAAGTTGAAAGAATGGAGAGGGCAATGCAGAAAGGAGGAAATGGGTGAATGACAACACTTTCCTCTGAAGCTGACTGCCAAGCCAGGGGAAGGTCCTTGGACTACTATAAACATCAACATTGCAGGTATTACTTGATCTCAAAATGCAGATACAGAGCTGCCGATTCAGCAGTCAATCTAAATGTTTAGTTTCTACACAGAATCTCATAGAAAAATGAAAGGATAGTTATCCTGTTCCAGCAAAGTATCTGCTGAGAGAAAATTCTGCATTTGAAACAGTACACGGAGTTTGATGGTGAGTTTATTCTCTTAAAGAAGGAATAGAAGTTGTTCAGGTTCACAGTAAGGGCATGTCCTAAGGGCAACAGACAAACCAAACAAAATGTTTACAGTGGTTTTTGTCACCCATACCTACCTACAAATGTTGTGGTGAGAGTGGGGAGGTTCGATTGGGTTTCTGTCTCTATGTGTGTGTACTTTGTTGTTGCTCATTTTGTTTGGTTTGTTGGATTTTTTTTCCCAAACCACATCATGCAGCTTCTCCCTTCCTCCTTCATTCCTTTTAATAACAGATACTTCAATCCCAAATGGAAAATAAACTGAGATAAATGTTGCATTGGAAGTTTTTAGAGCACATTATTACAATTATGCACAACTATGAATGTAGTTCAAAGGCAGAAAAATACCTGCTTCTATGTATTCTATCTTTTTATTTTTAATTTTATTTTTCCATTACCTTGATTTCATTAGAGGTAAGGATTCTGGCTGAATTTCTTAAATCTTACAGATAACATTTTAGGCTAGCTACACTAAAATTTGGGACTGAATTTTTCACAAACCTAGATGAAACATCTTTTTTTCCCACATGTCCAATTTCAGTTTCCCTTCTCCTCTCCTCAGCCATTTTTTTTAGCAGGAATAGAATCTGCACTCCCGCAGTCTAAAATGGTTGTATTACATTGAAAAAAAGTTAGGCTACATAACATAAACAAGCCTTTTTATTCAGTCTATGGGTTTTCAGGAGTTTTAACACCATCAGTTGGAAGTGCATTAGGTAACAAATATATCCCATCTCGACCTACATGGGCATTCCTATGACTTTGAATCCATGTTCTTTATTTACCTTTGTCTTTCTAAATCTGTTTGGGTACTTGGGAGAAGGCTCTCCTAGCTAAAACACATGCACACACACTCCCCCTATCAGTTAAGTGAAAGAAGGCTGCTTCCAGCCCATGCCTGTTTTTCTCCTTTCCAACCAGCTTCCCACGCTCCATTCCTACACCCCTGATTATGTGGCTATCTAGGTTCACCTTCTCATCCCACTAGCTTCAATTTCTGCTCCCAGATTTCAGCTAACTATATGCCAAGCAAAGGACTGTCACTACAATCACCCTGCTGAGATGAAGCTATTTCCCACAGCCTATCAGTTGTGCCAGGGCTGCCAAAGGCACAAGTGATATTATACGGTGTCATATATTTGGCAGGCCTAAAGAAGAAAAGATGGCAATAACTCATGCGTCTCTAAAAGAACTCAGGCTCTTCGCTCAGGCAGCCTATCTGCTGCCAAGAAATATTTGAACACTAATGTTAGCTTAAGAAGTTGAACTACACAGCCACACACAAGGTGTGAGAGGACTGTCAAGAGAGCAAGGGAAGTCATGCCCAAACCACCCGATACATTCTGTTACATGAAGAATATGCGTTTATATTTCATGCATCTATTTCAGTACTCCAAAACACGGGAAGCCTACCTATTTCAGGGCAGAAACTAAAAATAGAGAGCAGGGGCACATTTTGTACAAGACTCGGCATGGTTAGAGCTGATAGGTTCCTTGAAAGAACATGAAGTTCAAAGGTTTTGCAACCTTATCAGAGGCTACCATTTGTAATGCTTAACAGTGAAACTCTGAAGACTAAGCTTGACCACAAAAGAATTTATTCACCACTATTTCTCACCTTTTGTGTGGAAAGGTAAGTAGAAGTTTGTATCATTTACTATAGTTAGACAAGAGGCAATGCATTGTCAACACGTGTATTTTCCCTAGTATCAATACCAAATCATACCTAACACAAATGGTACAGATCCAGTTGAAGAATCAGGAAGAAAAACCCCTATCCATTGTAAACAGTGAATAACTTCACATTTCAATTCATATGTATCTAGAACTTAAGTCTTTCCAAATTGTAAATATGTTTATTCACCTTTATGGTTAACTTTATTTTAGTTTATCTGTAACTTGTCTTCAAAGTTCTGTGGCTAGGCTAATATTCTGTTTCCTAGTAAAAAAAGTCTGCCATTTGCATCACCATCAACGCATTCCAAGTTTGACCAATTCTGCTTCCATGCCTAGTTTTTAGCTTTTCTGAAGAGATAGTAGAGATACTAAAGTTAGGATTTCTGTAATTGTTTCAAATTGTACCTTTCCAGTAAAAAAACAAAACAAAACACCTTTACTTAGCTTTATTAGCTAACAAATATTGATTGGACTCATTGCTACCTTAATACAGCACAAATCCTACATTACTGCAGCACAACAAACTCATAAATGCATGCTGAGGTACCCTAACCATTAGCGTTGTGGGGGACAAAAGAGACCTACCAATAGTGAGATCGTGGACTGGTTGAAACCTCTTGTCTGTAAACTGTAACAATAAACATGATTTCCCAACACCTGAAAAAGAGAGAAAGTTTTAAACATTTTTTAAAAAAACAACTCTTAAAGACAAATAGTAATTAATTCAAGTGAATAGTACATACTATTTAAAATTAGAACTTGATATACTAGATTTCACCTACTTTGAAGTATATGCTTTTAAAGTTCCAGAAACATTAAAGACAAAGAAGTTATTTTCAGAAATTGAACAAAAATTAATTCTTTTGAAAAATTAGTTCTGCCTTTAAGCAGAAAAAAGTTTACTAACAGACCTTCAAAGTGTCACTCCACATCCTTTCTTCACAGGAACTATAGGTCTTGCTGCTCCTCACAATTCTATGTTTGCTTCCCCTTCAGTATTTTCAGCTTTCTTCCAAGCTAATCTTCAATAGCACCTCACCCCTGCCTATCTTCTAACTTATCACCTGAGGTAACAGCAGTACATATATGGCTGTTTACAATCACTATGTGTTACTGCCCACTGGTTCCCAGTAGGCAAAAAAGTAGTCCAAACAGAATTTGCAGCAGCTGAGTTCACATTACAGCCAGACAGCACAAACATTGTCCCACTCGTATCCCAATTTCTGACCCAAATGGGTTAACTATTTCACATTACATGGGAACTGGTCAGCAAATGGTCAGTTTCTTCTGTATGTGAAAACACAGAAAGTAAAAGTTAATGCAGTCCATAGGAGTACTCAAACTACCTAGGTTTGTAAACATACTTTTCAGGGTTAATTTTTCCTTGTTCTTTTACTTGGAGGTGTCATTCTTCCTGTTCTGTGCAGTTAAATTTCATATTTTCAGCCTTTTAAAGCCTTGTAGTCATACATATGGTTTACATAATTTAAACTCTGAAAATATAATACTGTAGCATCTAAGTTCCTGCTGTACTTTGCTTTATCTGTCCAGCAAGATAAGGCTATTTTAGCCACATACTAAAGGTCAGCAACAGCTGATCAAGAGTGACATATCTGGTAGTAAGACAGCAAACAAAGGGATAAGAAGAATCATACTGCAAGCCACAAGATATGCATACCAGAGGTTTGCATATAGTAACACTGATGTTTCTATGACTAAATCCAGCAAAAGTTTTTTAGTATGGTTTCACAAAGAAACAAAGCCCGTACAATCATAATCACTGCCCACCTGTCACTTTGGTCTTAAAAGCTCAGATCAGCAGGTAGTTTCAATCAAATCAAACAGAATTCGGAGATTTGCATTTAGTTTTGTCACAAAACAAGTTGTGACAAATTGATGATACTGTGAGATTAATATCCCAAGTGATACAGCAATTACAGCAGACTAAGCCAGCAGTTGGTGCTGCTATCCCTACTCTTCCCTACAGCATGTTTCTGCCCCTTTCTCTACAGGGCTGCAGAACTCATCCAAGCCATTTCAGCCGTCTGCTGGGTTAGCACACTAACCCGACAAGAAGAGCGACAAAGCAAACAGAAATGGCTTAACATGGGGTCAGACACACATGATAGTTCAAATGAGGGGAAAGAAATGCAGCAGCCAGCAGATCAACATCTCAGACTGGCACGGAACTACGCCCAAGGCAAAGTTTGCAATACCAGCCTTAACAGATCTCTTTTCTGTAGCTCTCTGGCTTATGATAGGAAGCTGTCAGAACTCAAGCATCTTGGAAGTAGGTATAGATTTTGTTCAACAAAACCAGTGGACATAAGAGCAGTAGCTGAGGAATAGGGAGAGCACTGGAGTTAAGAAACAGGGAGAAGGGCAGACAGAATATCAGAGCTATGGGGACAGAGAACACAAACCTCTATTTCAAGGTTCCTTAATAATCCATCCACTCACAGGATGCTGTTTACATATACAGATAACTTTCATACCACCAATGAAATACAGCTGTCCCACTGCAGAACATAATCATCCCACTTACAAAAAACACCTATAAATCACACCAGAAATAAAATGTAGAATAGCTTAGTATCACTGGATAAACCAGAACCTCAAAATTATCCAATATTCCTGAATGTGTTACAACCATTAGAAAAATATTTCTCAATCTGATCAAAGTGACACTCAATTAGATGTCTCAGCAGTTCAAGTGGCAATCTGGTATTTCGTCTTTTTGTAAGGCTGATGACCAGCCTGTTGGCTCAGGAGAACATACAAACATTAGTGTCAGCACAGCGAAGATAACAGACAAGGACAGTTCCTTTGATGCAAGCCCTGTCTCAAACTGGCACAAGATGACTGCACCTCTACTTAATTCTATATATCAGGCTTTTTAGGAGCAGACTGATGGGTTCACATACTAACAGAAGAAATAACTAGTTTTTGTT